AAATCACTTAATAGCACAGACAGAGTCCTGAACATTTAAAAAGCATCACTCCCAATTGATACAAATGTTTACAAAGATGCAGGTGGCACTCCTGAACATAACAAACGCGGGTTTAATAGTTGAGATTTTTATATATTTGAGTCAAATCCGTTTACGTTTCCCCTACTTTTTTTTGTGAATATAATTTTTATTTTCAATATTTATCTTATATAATTTAACCGTAAGCAGGGGTGGGACTTGCAGGTCCCCGTAGAAACGTTAACTTAAGAGACGCGCAGGTCTCCGCTATGTCAAGTTTGAGCTCGACACATGAAACTCGCAGATCTCTAATTTATAACATATTACAGCCTTTGCTGGACACACATGTCCCTTAAGCATGTGAACATTAGTTATGCCTGATTGTAGTCTATGGACCGGTACCATATGTTAGCACTACGTTGCTATGTAGCATTATTTGGGACGGGTTTGGGGATGAGGTATTTAGTATAGTGGGAAAGGTGACGGGGATGGCCTGCGTCTTGGCGACGTGTGAGTGCAGGTGTGAGTTCCTTTGTTGCGGGACAGTACGGTAAGGGGTTTCGCCTACTACCATGCATTCAGGCACATAAGAGTTAAGGGTCTCAGGTACTGTGAGTGGAGAACACACATGGGTCTCACAGGCTTTTATCGTGCTGCTTTCTATGTGTGGGATGTGCTAGTCCCTCAGGGCATGGGACCTATTTGAGTCCTGACTGGTAATTGTGTACTTTTGTGGCATACAAGCAGTCGTCCGAGTCTCATACAGTGATCCGTCTGGCCAGGATCAGGGATAGTAAAGGTGGATTGGGCCCTAGAGGGGGGGAGGGAAGGTGGTGCGGATATCCCTAGTCCGGGCATGTCTAGAATATGGGTGTCGACCCTTTGAGTGTGGGGTGGCTTAATAGAGACAGTGTCTCAGTAGTGGAGTTTGTCTGCGAACACGTCACCTGTTGTGGTCAGTAACCAGTGTGCCCATATATCTAAGTAGTGTTGTGTCATGTCAGAGGATTTCATTTGTATGTCTTCCATTGCCCTCAAGTCTTCCATTTGGGTGAACCACTTGCCCAGTGTTGGTGTTTCTGTACTTTTCCAGTGTTGTGGAATTAACTGTTTCGCTACATTGAGAATCCTAATTGTGATTGTTCTTTTGTATCTATTGCTTGGTGTAGTTGTGTGGTGGAGGAGCATCGCAGCAGGGTCTAAGGGGGATGGCTGATCCGCAAACCTTTTGCAGCATTCCGTGTATTCCCCTTCAAAAAGGTTGTATCTTATCGCACTCCTACCATATATGTAAAGCTGTCCCTACGTCGCCTTGCATCTCCAGCAATGCTCCGGGTGTTCCAGGGACATCCTGTGCAGCATGTCGAGGGTGTGGTACCAGTTTGTAAGCAGTTTATAAGCCGACTCCTGATTTTTGCTAAAAATAGAGCATTTATGCGTTATTTTCTCCCACTCCCATTCGCTAAACCTACAGTTCAGAGCCGTTTCCCACTTCCCCTTAAATTTTGATGTTTCGATTGGGATGAGCGTCTGCAGTGTGGAGTATAAGAAGGAAACTCCATGAGGCATCAGCTCCCGGTCAATGCATGCCTGTTCGAATGTTGTAGTTGCACGCTGCAGTGCCTGGCCCTGCGGTAGGGTCTTGAGGTAGCTAATCAGTTGTGGATATTTGTATGTCTGTATAAAGGTCAGGGTGGAGTCTCCTACAATGTGTGAAAGAGATGTCTGTCCCATTGTTGGGTGTATGTGGTGGAGCCTAGGTAGTAGGTCTGAGAAAAGATCCTGGAATGCATTGGGGTCAAGACCCGGCAGAAAGTCTGCGTTGTGCGTCAGTGGGAGAAGTGGTGATGGGTATTAAGTTAGGCCGCTCCGACACGCTATCATGGGTGTATCCCCACTAACTCCCCGAGGCAAGATTAGGGAAGTGGGGGGGGCAGCAGCCTATAGATTAGGGGAGTGAGGGGGGCATCCTATAGATTAGGGGAGAGAGGGG